TATATTGGTTCCTAACTTCCCTGAAAAGTTGCATATCGCGGGGGCTATTTGATGCTAATGCAGTACGCCACAGGATGTTTTTGTGCTGGTCAAGGGCAGTCAAGTCTGAGGAGAACCAGGGGCTATATCGATTCTTAGTTCTGTATTTTTTGAATGGGGCATGTTTATTTAAGATTGAGAGGAAATTACTTTTAAGGAACAACCAGGCATCCTCTACTGACGGAATGAGATCTATGTCCATCCAGGATACCTGGGCCAAGTCAATTAGGAAGGCCTGCTCGCTAAAGTGTTTTAGGGAGCGTTTGACAGTGATGAGGGGTGGTCGTTTGACTGCGGACCCGTTACGGACGCAGGCAATAAGGCAGTGATCGCTGAGATCCTGGTTGAAGACAGCTGAGGTGTATTTAGAGGGTATGTTAGTCAGGATGATATCTATGAGGGTACCCATGTTTACGGATTTAGGGTTGTACCTGGTAGGTTCGTTGATAATTTGCGTGAGATTGAGGGCATCTAGTTTGGATTGTAGGATGGCCGGGGTATTAAGCATATCCCAATTTAGGTCACCAAGCAGTACGAACTCTGAGGATAAATGGGGGGCAATCAATTCACATATGGTGTCCAGGGCACAGCTGGGGGCTGAGGTGGGTCTGTAGCAAGCGGCAACAGTGAGAGACTTATTTCTGGAAAGGTGGATTTTTAGAAGTAGAAGCTCAAACTGTTTGGGCACAGACCTGGATAGTATGATAGAGCTCTGCAGGCTATCTCTACAGTAGATTGCAACTCCACCCCCTTTGGCAGTTCTATCTAGACGGAAAATGTTATAGTTGGGGATGGAAATTTCAGAATTTTTGGTGGCCTTTCTGAGCCAGGATTCAGACACTGCTAGAACATCAGGGTTGGCGGAGTGTGCTAACGCAGTGAATAACTCAAACTTAGGAAGTAGACTTCTGATATTTACGTGCAAGAAACCAAGACTTTTGCGATTACAGAAGTCAGCAAATGATAGCGCCTGGGGAGTAGGAGTGATACTGAGGGTTGCAGGGCCTGGGTTAGCCTCTACATCACCAGAGGAACAGAGGAGGACTAGAATAAGGATACGGCTAAAGGCTTTAAGAACTGGTCTTCTAGTGCGTTGGGTACATAGAATAAAGGGGGCAGATTTCCGGGTGTTGTAGAAAAGATTCAGGGCATTATGTACAGACAAGGATATGGAAGGATATGAGTAAAGTGGAGGTAAACCTAAGCGTTGGGTAACAATGAAAGAGATAGCATCACTGGAGGCACCAATTGAGTCGGTCTCCGCGTGTATGGGGGGTGGGACAAAGGAGCTATCTAAGGCAGGTTTAGCTGGGCTGGGGGATCTACAGTGAAATAGTACAATTAGAAATAACCGAAACAACAATAAGCTAACCATGTTTGGGCTGAGGCTAAACATAAACAGGATGTAGTACCGTAAAAAGGAACAGTCCAGCAGACATCAGCTGTATAGCTGAGTTATCATAAGGCCCGGTGAACAGCAATAGGATAGTTCGGAGGCTGCTAAAGCACTAGCGAGTAAGAGGCCACGGCTAGCGTGTGCTAGCGGGCCGGGGCTAGCAGATGGAATCTTCGTGGTCGACGTCGTAACCACATCAGACGATTTCGTCGGCAGACCAGTCGTGTAGGATCGGCGGGGCTCCGTGTCAACACTAGGTGGTCCCGTCCGGTTGACAGAGAGGTAGATAGCCGGGAGATGGGCCTAGCTCAGGATGATTAGCCAGACCACAGCACAGCGTCCATTTTGTTGCAGCTAGCTGGTAGCGATGAATCCGGAGTTAAAGGTCCAGTGATTCAGTGATTCCGGCAGAAAAACTGATATGTTCTGGGTCGATAACGCGCTGTGCAGACTGGCCGAATAATAGTCCAGACTAGAGCTGGCTGGTGAGTGGTGCAGGCCACGGACAATGGTGAAAAACCGCTAACGGTAGCTGATAGCAAGTAGCTAGTTAGCTGGCTACTCCCGTCCGGTAGACCTAGAGATAGATATGAGCCTGGCTCTAGGCTAACTCGAGGCTAACTGGTGCTTGCATCGGGGGCAGTGGTGATTAGCCAGACAGCAACATCCATTCGGTTGCGACTAGCTAGTTGCGATCCAGTGATTAATGTCCAGTGATTAAATTAATCCCGCAGAAAAAATATCCAATGTTCTGGGTGAAATACCGCTAACTGTGGCTAATAGCAAGTAGCTAGTTAGCTGGCTAGCTAGTTTCAACTGGAGATTCTAGATAAAAGGTAAGTCAATAATAGAATCCGTTCCACATTGAGTGAGGCGGGTTGCAGGAAAGTATATTTTGTAGAAGGTTGAAAAGTCTGATAGGGAAATATGTATGAAAAATAAAATAAAAAACAGGGTATTTACAGGCTATTTACAGACACACGACAAAAAACAGAACTGCACTACTACGCCATCTTGGATTAAGGTGTGGGGGCCAGAGAAGAGGCCAGGCCAGGCAGAAACCGACCGTAATAGTTTAACAAGGTAAATCTCAACTGAGTTTATTTCCGCTTTTACAACATTGAATGTCTGCCGTTCACATTGGCTTCCGCAACTAGAACAAGACATACAGTTCACAGTACAGAATGTCACCTTTTATTTTAGGCTTTTTTCATACATATACTACATATTTATTTGGACAGTGAAGCGAGAACTTTTAATTTGGCTCTATACTCCAGAATTTTGGATTTGAGATACATTTTCACAGTACAGAATGTAACCTTTTATTTAAGGATATTTTCATGAATATCGGTTTTACTGTTCAGAAATGAAAGCACTTTATGCATCCAGTCGCCCCATTTGAAAGGGTCATAAGTACACTGCTCAAAGAAATAAAGGGAACACTTAAACAACACATCCTATATCTGAATGAATGAAATAATCTTATTAAATACTTTTTTCTTTACATATTTGAATTTGCTGACAACAAAATCACACAAAAATGATCAATGGAAATCAAATGTATCAATCCATGGAGGTCTGGATTTGGAGTCACCCTCAAAATTAAAGTCTCACTGCCTCCTTCTCACAAATGATCCCAAAAATATAAAAATTAAATAAAGTTGGTTCAACACAGTGGCGGGTCATTTTGACCCTAGGACAACGGGAGGGTTAAAACAAGTCAAAATGAGGCTCAGTAGTGTGTGTGGCCTCCACGTGCCTGTATGACCTCCCTACGCCTGGGCATGCTCCTGATGAGGTGGCGGATGGTCTCCTGAGGGATCTCCTCCCAGACCTGGACTAAAGCATCCGCCAACTCCTGGACAGTCTGTGGTGCAACGTGGCGTTGGTGGATGGAGCGAGACATGATGTCCCAGATGTGCTCAATTGGATTCAGGTCTGGGGAACGGGCGGGCCAGTCCATAGCATCAATGCCTTCCTCTTGCAGGAACTGCTGACACACTCCAGCCACAGCAGTCTAGCATTGTCTTGCATTAGGAGGAACCCAGGGCCAACCGCACCAGCATATGGTCTCACAAGGGGTCTGAGGATCTCATCTCGGTACCTAATGGCAGTCAGACTACCTCTGGCGAGCACATGGAGGGCTGTGCGGCCCCCCAAAGAAATGCCACCCCACACCATCACTGACCCACCGCCAAACCGGTCATGCTGGAGGATGTTGCAGGCAGCAGAACGTTCTCCACGGCGTCTCCAGACTCTGTCACGTCTGTCACATGTGCTCAGTGTGAACCTGCTTTCATCTGTGAAGAGCACAGGGCGCCAGTGGCGAATTTGCCAATCTTGGTGTTCTCTGGCAAATGCCAAACGTGCTGCACGGTGTTGGGCTGTAAGCACAACCCCCACCTGTGGACGTGGGGCCCTCATACCACCCTCATGGAGTCTGTTTCTGACCGTTTGAGCAGACACATGCACATTTGTGGCCTGCTGGAGGTCATTTTGCAGGGCTCTGACAGTGCTCCTCCTGCTCCTCCTTGCACAAAGGCGGAGGTAGCGGTCCTGCTGCTGTGTTGTTGCCCTCCTACGGCCTCCTCCACGTCTCCTGATGTACTGGCCTGTCTCCTGGTAGCGCCTCCATGCTCTGGACACTACGCTGACAGACACAGCAAACCTTCTTGCCACAGCTCGCATTGATGTGCCATCCTGGATGAGCTGCACTACCTGAGCCACTTGTGTGGGTTGTAGACTCCGTCTCACGCTACCACTAGAGTGAAAGCACCGCCAGCATTCAAAAGTGACCAAAACATCAGCCAGGAAGCATAGGAACTGAGAAGTGGTCTGTGGTCACCACCTGCAGAACCACTTCTTTATTGGGGGTGTCTTGCTAATTGCCTATAATTTCCACCTGTTGTCTATTCCATTTGCACAACAGCATGTGAAATGTATTGTCAATCAGTGTTGCTTCCTAAGTGGACAGTTTGATTTCACAGAAGTGTGATTGACTTGGAGTTACATTGTGTTGTTTAAGCGTTCCCTTTATTTTTTTGAGCAGTGTATTTGGACAAATTCACTTATTGTATTTAGTAAAAGGTTTGGTATTTGGTCCCATATTCCTAGCACGCAATGACTACATCAAGCTTGTGACACAAACTGGTTGGATGCATTTTCAGTTTGTTTTGGTTGCGTTTCAGATTATGCAATGCAGGAAATGTCAAACTTGTGTATATGAGGTTTAAAAATGCTTCTGAAGTTTGACATTTCCACTTAGAAATTTCAAACTTGATTTTACCTTACAAAAAATGTAACTCTTCCTACAAAAATGACCATTAATTAGAATCCACATAATAATTCACATTTCCTGCAGGATTATTTTCCTGCTGTAGCAAACTGGCTCAAATTAAGATCCTACATCTATAATGTATTGTGTCATTTTATTGTAAATAAGAATATAACGTGAGCCCATAGTTTAGGTCACTGTGATGTGTGCATTTTTTTCTATTCTGTGTAAAGATTAATCGAATCTTACATAGATTTGTAAGAAAGTACACAAAAGAAACATCTAGATGCAAGTATTATTTAATCCCATATTAACACAAATTTGTATCATTCGATTCAGTGTAACAAACAATACAAAGAAAAGATATGCAGCGGTATAAAAAAAGCAGTTAACAGTATTTTCAATTTTTTTAGTAAACTATCATTTGAATTTCCTCTTGAATTTCCTCCCTCTTTGTCTGGGCCTGGAGGAGGAAGAGGAGGAAGTAGAGGAAGAGTACTGGCGCTTGAAGTCAATAAGGCAGTCTGTGGCTTCTGAGATGGAGGTGAAGGATCGGATGGGCGAGGTGCTCACTCTGAAACCTGGGACAGCGATGTCTCCACTTCCCCCAGACTCTCCCAGATCCTCAATCAGGCCACTGAAAGCAACATTCACACGGTTATAAATGGCAGGGTCATGATCATCAGAGCACCCCGTAGTAAAACTTTATGCAATGAAAAAGGAAAACAAGTGTTTATTGGATATTTCCAGGTAGTCCCTCCCTCTTTCAGTCCATTTTGTGCCTACTGAACATGATCCAGGTGTGAGCTAGAGGTAGTACACTGATATTGTTAGTGACACTGGTCGAGTCACCAAACAATCAGGCAAGCACTAAACTTTGCGGTCTGCTTACCATCTCATATTCACAAAATATGTTAATATGCATTCATAAACTATTAAACCAGAAGTAAATACACTATTTCAAACAAATAACTACTTAAATAGGGGTACACTAACAGTCTTAGTCAACAATGGACAAATATGCATAAGCATATAATGGACTTGATATTATGTTTTAGAGAGCTATTCATCAGGGTGTATCCTTGACAGACAGACATGCCCAACCAGGGTCTGCTTATCAGAGTCCCCTCCCTATCACAGACATGGTACAGCCTGTCACCAGGGGTGGGTGCTACAGTAGCATTAGTCAAATGTAGTTTCCAAATGTGCATTTCCTGTTGTTTTGCTTACCTGTGTTGGTTCCTGAAGGCAATATCACATGGTCCGGCCTTAGCAGTCCCTAGAAGGTGACCAAGTAGAGTGAAAACATTGGCTCTCTTTTTCTCCCATTCAAACAAGGTGGAAAGAGGCATTTTGAACATGTAAAACAAGAACATCACAGTTTGAGAGTGTGTGTGTACCTGAATCTCTGTGCTCGGTCTGGTCCAAAGCGCTCAGCAAGTCTCCACTCTGGAAGATCATCCATCACACAGATGGAAGAAAGATCAGAAGACCCATGGTGAGAGTGCTACATGACAGCTAGGGAAACCACACTGTCTGCAATGAACTGCCAATGGTCTACAACAGCTAGCTTGGTTTTTGATAACAACTACATACAGTGTGTAATGCTGTGCATTAGTGCTAACTAAGAGTACCTGTCCGGCCCTGGATGCAGCCTTGGACACTTCTTGGTTCCTGATGCAGTCCTCCACATGCTTCTCGTAGTCCCTGAGATTAAACAGCTGCTGACACAGGAAGCACTTCTCTCCTTGCACTGCCCTGCTCAGAAGAGAGGTTAAAAGGTATGATCAGGTTACTCTACAGTTGGGATGTCAAAATCCTTTAGCCTAAAGTGACGTTCCCTGTGAATGTAAACTAGGTATAGGAGACTAGCTGTTAGACCAAGGTAAATCCGCTCATACCTACTTACTTGCCAGAGCCAGAAGAACTGGGCTGCTCCTCTACAATTATCTCTCCCCTTCTGGTCCTCTTCCTATGAGACTTCACTGCAACTACATATTAAGGGATTGTTTTACATCCTGGGGTCAAATATGATATTTGACTACACATCCTTGACTTGCATTGTACGTTTGTCAATGTCCTTGCATAAGCAGAGATTACTTTAGATTGAACTGAATAAACAAGTGTGTTGTATGTGTGTCTTGCTGCATGTTCTCACCTTGTGATTGACTCTCCTGACCCATCATCTCCTCTTCCTCCATGTTAGCGGTACTACCGTCACAGTAGGCAGCATGCATCTCAATCTCCGTCAGGGGGAAGGGGCGCATGCACATGGGACAGTCCATGCTGGGGCTCTGAGGGGGTGCAGGTTCTGGGACCCCACCCTGTACCTCTCCTGTCTCCTCCATTTCCATCCTCACATCTCCTCCAGCAGGGCTCCTAACAGGGCCACTCCTCCTCTCCTCATCCACCTCCATCCCCTCTACACGCCGTTCCAGACGATGGGGTGGTGAGAGAAAAGTCTGGATCTGAGGCAGGGACTGCCTCTCTGGTTGGGGCTAAGGGTAACCAAATCGAACCATAGACATCAACACAACCATAACCTCACAATTCTATGCACACACCCAATATTTCTAGGTGTAGGATGAAAGAAGGAGAATCATTCAGAACTGTAATCAGAATGCTCTGTTTAGGTGTGTCATTTGTAGTTCAGAAGTTACTGACCTGTGCAGGGCTGGTGACCATCAGGTTTTGGGTGCCGTCATCACTGAGTTGGGTCTCTGCCATCAGAATCAACAAGGAAAAATAGAGGCATGCCAATTAAAGCTACATATTATGAAGTGAAGCTCACAACATTTTGTCCTAAATGGAACCATATACAGAGAGTATACCAAACATTAGGCACACCTTCCTAATATTGAGTTGCACCCCCTTTTGCCCTAAGAACAGCCTCAATTCGTCGGGGTATGGACTCTACAAGGTGTCGAAAGCGTTCCACAGGGATGCTGGCCGGATGTCCTTTGGGTGGTGGACCATTCCTGATTCACACAGGAAACTGTTGAGCGTGAAAAACCCAACAGCGTTGCAGTTCTTGACACACTAAAACCGGTGCACCTGGCACCTACTACCATACCCTGTTCAAAGTCACTTAAATATTTTGTCTTGCCCATTCATCCTCTGAATGGCACACATACACATTCCATGTCTCAAAGCTTAAAAATCCTTCTTTAACCTGTCTCGTCCCCTTCATCAACACTGATTGAAGTGGATTTAACAAGTGACATCAATAAGGGATGATAGCTTTCACCTGGATTCACCTGGTCAGTCTGTCATGGAAAAAGCTCAGTGTACATCGACTGGTTTATGAAATAATTATATTGCAATGAAATAATACATTAAAGCTGCAATACTAAACTTTTTGGGGCAACCTGACCAAATTCACATAGGAATGTGTGTTATAGACCTGTAATTCTCATTGAAAGCAAGTGTAAACAGTAGAACTGTTCTATGTGCGTTATTTCTATGCTTCCCGTTCTTAAGTTTCATTTTGAGTCTTTTACTTTGGTTTTGTACACCAGCTTCAAAACAGTTGAAAATACATTATCTTTGGTTACTGAAAATATATTTTACAGCAGTTTAGATGGTACAATGATTCTCTACACTATACATTGATGGTTTTGTCACAAAGTGAAATTAGGTGAATGATTAGAATATTTGCAACCTGGAAATGGTGGAGCGATTTCTGCATATTGCACCTTTAATGACAGTCATTTACAATCTGTGAGATCAATTGTAATTTCAGTAACACTTTACTTCACACCCAGTCAGTCATAATATGTCATAACAGCTGACAACTTATAACACTGTCATGACCCATATATTTACACCTGTTCTGACATACATTGCATTATTTTATGGCACCTACGTAAGTGTCAACCCACATTTATTCAAATTCGTTTTTTCCCTGCCAAGAAGTTTCCTTTCGTTTGAAAGTTTATTTCTCAAATCCTTTGTTGTTCTTTACAGATGTTTTTTTTATCATATTTTAAATCACTTTTAGAAAATACACTTTATGACACTGTCATGAAGCATTATGACCATCATGTGTCACTTTACTTGGACTAAGAAAATAGACTTATGACCATCATAATCATATAAGCCAGATAGGCCTATCATGTACATGCCCTTATTTCAGTCATCAGTCAAAAAGAGGGTGTCTTGTCCTGCATTCATCCCAGTCATCAGCAACAGAGCATTGGGGTAGGTGGATGTCTGATATCAATGTGTGCGCAATTACAATGATAATTTAATATGGTCAATAAACATTAAAAAATATAACACATAGGCTATGGTGTAATGGAATGTCTTGCCTTGTGTGGTAGGTTGACACTTATGTAGGTGTCATAACCAGCCATAAATAACACAATATATGTATAACAGGTCTAAATATGCGTCATGACCATATTATAACAGGTTATGACAAGTTATGTCTGCTGTTATGACATGGTTATGACTGTGTCAAAACATGTTATGACGCTGGGTGTCAAGTAAATTGTTACCGTAATTTCTTATACCTGGAACTTCTAAGCCACCGACATCCACCACTTCCTCCCCCATCCCTTCTTCCTCTTCTTCATCCCTCTTCTCATTCTCTTCCTTTTCCCTCTCCAGTGGGTCAGGCAGTTGTGATGGTCTTCTCTCTTCTCTTCTAAGGCCAAGTCTCCTGGAAATTAGAAATCAATTATTTTTCTAATACATGTTTTCATTCTTGTGCAGAATTAAAGCACTTGTATCACTGAGATTAAAGACAAGCTAGGTCCATACTGTATAATGTAGCAGTTTAGGCCTCCCTTTCTTACCTTCGAGGTAGAATTAGTTGTTGACTGGATTCTACATGAAATACAGGTGAGGGCGATTTCTATGGGAAGACAAAACAAAGAGAGATACTTTTCTGGGGGAAAGCATCAAGTGGATTGACCTTTCCACATAATAAACTGTGTCTATCCCAAAAAGAGAGGCACTGTTTTTAGCCTGTATTATAATAACACATTTGTATTGTAAATAGTTGATAGCACTATCTGGTGATTATATAGTGTGACAAGGAACTTTCAGTAACTACTATAGCATCATTAGAGCCTTTGATATGATTCATGCTTTTAATTAAATAATATTTGTATTGTTAACACAGCCTTTGGAAATACTTAGATGTATTGCTCCAAGCTGCCTATAAGTATTGCCAAAAGTTAAGCAATACTCACTTCCTCTTGTTCGGGAGTGGACACAAACAGTGCCTGACAGTCCTTCCACTCCAGTCTTCCTCTCCTCCCTCCCTCTTCCGTCCCCCACCGTGACAGCCTCCTCTCCCTTTTCTCACCCTCCTCTTCATAATTCTCTACCACCGCCACTACCTCTTCCTGCTGTTTTCCCCTTCCCTCCTCTTCATCATCCTCTACCACCGCCACTACCTCTTCCTGCTGTTTTCCCCTTCCCTCCTCTTCATCATCCTCTACCACCGCCACTACCTCTTCCTGCTGTTTTCCCCTTCCCTGCTCTTCTTCCTCCTCTTCTTCTTCCTCCAGGGGTCGTGGGGCCCTGTGTCTCTTGGGGCGTCCCCTCCTGGAGAAGGGTCTCTCTGGGGGCCCGGGAAGGACAGGCTCCCCCCAGCCTGCCTTCCTCAGCAGACCCCTCTGGGCCTCTTTCAGGCTCTTCTCATACACCTCCAGCTGGGACATGATCACCTGTAAGGAAAAATCTGGTAATTTATATCAGTTACATACTCACAGTTAGAAGTCATGACATCTGACATCAGATCAATGAAATATTACAAAATGATGGATGGATAGATAGATGGATGGAGTGCCTACAATACAGTAGCACACAGTATTTATACAGTGCATTCGGAAAGTACTCAGACCCCTTGACTTTTTCTACATTTTGTTACGTTACAGCCTTATTCTAAAATGAATAAAATATTTTCCTCAATCTCCACACAATACCCCATAATGACAAAGCAAAAACAGGTTTTTAGAAATGTTACTACATTTATATCAGAAAAACTAAAAGAGAAATAGCTTTACATAAGCATTCAGACCCTTTGCTATGAGACTCAAAATTCAGCTCAGGTGCATCCTGTTTCCATTGATCATCCTTGAGATGTTTCTACAACTTGATTGGAGTCCACCTGTGGTAAATTCAATTGATTGGACATGATTTGGAAAGGCACACACCTGTCTATATAAGGTCCCCCAGTTGACAGTGCATATCAGAGCAAAATTCAAGCCATGAAGTCGAAGGAATTGTACGTAGAGCTCCGAGGCAGGATTGTGTTGAGGCACTGATCTAGGGAAGGGTACCAAAAACTTTCTGCAGCATTGAAGGTCCCCAAGAACACAGTGGCCTCCATCATTCTTAAATGGAAGAGGTTTGGAACCACCAAGACTCTTCCTAGAGCTGGCCGCCCGGCCAAACTGAGCAATCGGGGGAGAAGGGCCTTGGTCAGGGAGGTGAACAAGAACCCGATGGTCACTCTGACAGAGCTTCAGCCGCAGGGACTGGGAGACTTCAGGATTGAGGGAAAGATGAACGAAGCAAAGTACAGAGAGATCCTTGATGGAAATCTGTTCCAGACGCTCAGGACCTCAGACTGGGGCGAAGGATCACCTTCCAACAGGACAACGGCCCTACGCACACAGCCAAGACAACGCAGGAGTGGCTTCGGGACAAGTCTCTGAATGTGCTTGAGTGGCCCAGCCAGAGCCCGGTCTTGAACCCGATCTAACATCTCTGGAGAGACCTATAAAATCGCTGTGCAGCGACGATCCCCATCCAACCTGACAGAGCTTGAGAGGATCAGAGAAACTCCCCAAATACAGATGTGCCAAGCTTGTAGCGTCATACCCAAGAAGACTCAAGGCTGTAATCGCTGCCAAAGGTGCTTCAACAAAGTACTGAGTAAATTTGCAAAAATATCTAAAAACCTGTTTTTGCTTTGTCATCATGGGGTATTGTGTGTAGATTGATGAGGGGAAAAAACAACTTAATCCATTTTAGAATAAGGTTGTAACGTAACAAAATGTGGAAAAAGTCAAGGGGTCTGAATACTTTCCGAATGCACTGTATGCCCCCTTTTTGTGTTCCCAGATGTCAGTTACCCGCAATGACTCATAATCCAGAGAAAGTCTGTGTGAGAGAATAATAAATGAAGACTACATCAGAGAAGAATAAAGAAGGATCACCTGCGTGTAGGCATCTGGGTCCTGACCTCGCGGACAGAAAGGCACGCCCCAATAGTAGCACACCACTCCTCCCCCATCCCCCTGGCAGCCTGTGGGGGGAGAGAGGCGGCTGGAAGAGGCCTGGGGCTGGTGGGAAGAGGGGTTTCCGGCTTGTGCCTCATCCTGGCTCCCTCTACCTGCAGCCTGTCTGGGGAGAAAGGGGGAGGGAGCTCCATACATGGCCTTGAAGGTGAACTTCTTCCGGATGCGCTTGGACTGGCTATCTCCCTCCTCACACACGGAGTCTTCGGAGGTGTGAGTACGTTTCTTGGGGACGAGGCAGGGGCTGTGTATGTGTGGAGGGGAACGGTGGTAGTGGGTGTTTGTGGAGCGACCCTGGTTGCTTGGTTGTGGGAGGTCATTCTCTTGTGGGAAGACTGTGCTAGACGAGTGAGCCGACTGCAAGAGAGAGAGAGGTTTCCACAATACACTGTAAATTAGGTTTCAGGTGAGGTCAAAAGCGAAATAACTGTATTGGTAATGGACAATCTGTTGCAGTTCCCTGGCATCACCTTTGCAGGACCGTCTTCCTCTTCGTCATCATCTGACCAGCGTAGCGCCATATTACTGGTTAACTCCTGCATTGGCTGAGTCTCCAAAGCCAACGCAAGTTCCTCTGAATTAAGGTCTTCTTCTGCAGCTAAAGAAGAGAACAATCATGTCAATACATACATAGGATCAGAACATAGAAAGCCAAAGGGCAGGCAGAGGCCATATGAACCTGCCATACCGCTATTACTTGCTCTCAATAAAACTCAATGGGTGTAACATAATTCTGTATATATGACAGTGGTTAAAACAATAGAAAAACGTACCAAACATTGCAGGCGTGCTAATCCTGTTTACAGCGCTCTGCGAGGACTCACCCTCACGTTCCTCTTGGTCAACAACTTTGTCTGCAACTCCAACTGTCTTCCTTATAGGCATGAGTCTCTTGTTCAGGGACAGGGTTGTTCTGAGGTGTGGTGGAAGGCACTTTGAGGAATCGCTGCTCTTCACATCCTCTCTGTCTCTATCCTCATAGTCTTCTGTTGTAGAGACACTTTCAATACAGCTCTGTGGACCCTGGTCCCTTATCTTATCAGTTCTGGGGAAGACTGGGCTTCTGGGAAAGGTGGGACTTGCCACTTTCTCTTCTTCTCCTGTATCACTACTGGAGAACATGGTGCTTTTAGGAAAAGTTGGACTAGCCTCTTTTTCTTCCTTTCCTGAATCAGTCTCAGAGAACATAGGGGGACTCCCTTGGCCTGGTTCCTCGCCTGCACCTCTCTCTGTCCTGGAGAACACAGGGCTTTTGGAGAATGTAGGGCTCTTTGGCTGAGAAGACTGAGACATCTGGGACTTTGTGGAAAGAGTTAAACTGGGAGGACCCTCTTGAGAACGTAGTAGGAACCCAGAGGCCTGACAGTCTACTAGGAGGTCCTGGCTGAGCTTATGCAGGCACAGGATGAGTTTGCTGGCTGAGGGAACTGTAGACTTTTTCCTGAGTTGGGACTGGGAGTCATTCTCTGTGGCGTTGCGGTCCTGAGATTCGACATGGGCTGAAAGGTCTCCGAAAGGGTTCTTTAGAGAAGACCCCTCCTCCTTAAAATGGCATAGAAAATGTGATCAAAAAAACATTACAAGAACTAAATTGATTTGGCATGCATTCTGGACTAATGATGATTGAAAGATGTGGCATTAAGATATAAGTAAGTAGTTGATTCTTCTAGACCTCCATTAATGCTTATTCACACAAGTCTTCAGGTTAAAGTATCGATCAGACTTATAGAAGTTAGATCTGGGCCCATAGAAGCAAGACAGAACTACATGATTGCCATGACAGACAAATAATGAGGCACCACTGACCTGTGAAGAGAGAGGCATGGAGGTGGAAGATTGGCTAAGGGGAGAAGACTGGGAGTAGAACTTCTGGGTCTGAGACAGGTCAGGCATATCTAGTAATGGGCTTCCCTCCTTTTTCCCCCTCCTCCTGGTTTCTGGGAGAGCCACCCCTACACTAACACCTACACCGTGGGCTCCCTCCCTGTCAGCCACACCAAGGTTGGGGTAAGAGAGCTTCCGCCTGGGGGGAGGTATGCTGCTCTCTGCCTCCGGAGGGGAACTCTGACATTGCTGCGTAGGGCTCCCATCCGCCAGCAGAGATTCTGAGTGGGGATGAGTGGGGCTGTCCGCCTGAAGGGATAGAACAACACTCACGTATCACAGGAATAGATACAATGGGGAAAGAATGGGTGATTTTATCTGAAATAATGGAGAGGACTGTACTAGAGTAAATGTCCAAGCAACCTTTTATTTCTGTCAGTATTCTCTACACTTACGTAGAGGCTTTCAGCGATGGCCTTCCTCATGGCCTCCTCCTCCTGTCGTTGCCTGAGAGCAGTGTTGTTGGCCTCCTGTTCACTCAGCCTCATGGCCAGGTCCAACATCTCTTCCTCAGTCATCTCTGAGAAGAGAGGGGACAGCTTCAGTACAGTAGATGACAAAGCTCCATCTAGCAGTGCTTCAGTGGTTACATTCTGGTGATGTGCTACTGGCCTTTGATCATGACTCAGTTCCATTACATTCTATATGGGGGAGTTTTGTTAAAAGCCCCGGCGCTCGGTCTGAACATTAACACGCATCACTTGCCTTACGGTTTTAGGCGGCAGGTAGCCTAGCGGTTAAGAGCGTTGGGTCAGTAACCAAAAGGTTGGTGGTTCAAATCCCTTAGCCGATTAGGTGAAAAATCTGCCGATGTGCCCTTGAGCAAGGCATGTAACCCTAATTGCTCCTGTAAGTCACTCTGGATAAGAGCGTCTGCTAAATGACTAAAATGTAAATGTAAAATGTGGAAGCATAACGAGCTTATCTTTCATATCAGCAATAAATCATTTTTTAAAAACAAAGGTTAAATTGATACACACATGGCCATATCTCCATGTTACAGCGTGTTTACGGAAAACAGACAGTAGACAAGAGTAGACTACCTGTGCTAATTAGCTACCTGCATCTAACACCTGTGTGTAAACGGAAGACCAGCGCCAGAAACGTGTTGTCACTGAAAAATACTGTCGGCTGCAATTGTGTTAAAACCGGTTAAAACAGTGTACAGTAAGTGTGTATTTTGCATTTGTGAAATTATTTTGATGTGATATGAAAGTAGAGAGATTTATGTTTCTAGAACCATACCACAATTGAGAATCGACTCACGTTTTGATGGGAGTATTTGGCTGTTTTGGCTTCCAGAGCCAATTCGCCTTTAAAAACAGAACATGTAAGGTGCTTGGACTATAAGGACTAACGTTAACGTCAGGCTCCTTTAGTCCATTATTGGGCTAATATATTACATGAAAATTATAAGTCTAATTAGCTATGTTACAAATATTAAGACATATGTTAGACAGTATACCGTTTGATCGTGTTTTACTCTCCTTCTCCCGTTTGCGCTCCTCTAATGATGATGTTGGTCTGAAGTCTTCATCCTGGGTTAGAAGAGATGAGTTGTCAATGACAGATTCTTTTCTGACAAACTTATAGCCTGGGTGCCTTTCTTAAAGAGACATAAGTGGTCTGAAGCAGAAAGACTGCTAGGCCGACAGTTAATGTATATTATAGTCATTATTTTATAGTTAACATTTAATGATAGGTCACTTTACACAGATAGATAACTAGTAGTTATGTTCTGCATCCGTGTAGCTAGCTAGCCAGTGTGTAACCAACTAGCTAGCTAGCTAACGCGTTAGTCAGTTCAGCTGGTTAACGTTACCTCGTCGCTGTTTGAGATGACGACTCTGTCCTCTTCCTGATCAACTGCTCGTCGTCGTTTCCTGGGACCATCATCTGTGTCTCTGTTCTCTCGCTTTTTCCGAGGAGGCATGTTGCTGGGTTGAATGTGGTGCTTGATACAGTCTACATACATATGTTAGTCAGCTTAGCTAGCTACTGTTAGCTATCCGTACGACTGGTGTCGAGGACGTCTGCTCACCCATCTTCCTGAGAATTGCGAAAAACCGAAAGTAGAACTGTTACTTTTAGCTAGATATGTATAACGATAAATTAAATGAACTGGATGATTTGTAACTTACAAGATTGTTAATCACATTCAGTGTTAGTAGGTAGGATTTCTACTTTTACCAAAACGTTGACAAATCTCGATTCAAGAAGCCATGTTTTCTTCCATCACGTGACTAAAAAAAATGGAGGGCAAACTTTGAGGGAGGGCTGAAACTAATATTTTTTTTATAACCAAAGCATCTTGTTCTATCTGTGGCTGAAATGTGAGGCGCGATACCGCGCGCACTACAATTGCAAATTTCAAACAGGTAGAGCATGCAAACATACAAGGGAAGCTAACTTACAACAGATACATTGATTTTTTAACAGGAACAGTTAAAAACTGTTCACAAATTAAACTACAGCAATGTGTATTAAACTAATCTGTCAAAATAATTTCCCAACGTGTGAGCTGAGGCCAGCAAAGTACTTTATGGCACAATCACCCCCCTTTGTGGCTTTCTCGACCAAACCAAATATTATCAAAACACTCTTATACTCATTGACCTAGCTAACTTTGCTAGCTCACAAACACATCATATTCGTTATTTTGAACAAAACATTGATCTGTAGAAAAATACACAAAGCCAGGTTTAAACCCTACTGCCAAAGAGAATGGGCCCTGCTAACGTTACCACAACATCTTTGCCACAACTGCCTTTGGTGTGGTCAGAGAGGAAGAGCCTAAGTGAGCACCTGAAGTGAGAGGCTCCCATCATTCAGTCTTTGATGAGGTTGGCATCCAATAAATGTTGCATTACTGCCACCAACTAGACTGGAGTATAACTCCCTTATACTTTGCTTGGGAGATTTGTTTTTCAACAAATACCCAACCATCTAACACTGCACTCATTAAAAACCCACTACCCTACTCCACTAAATCTATCTAGTCGTACCTTAGGCCAACAGCCTGAAATGACAGGACACCAACATTCAACACATTTTATATTTATATTTTAGTCATTTAGCAGACGCTCTTATCCAGAGTGATTTACAGTTAGTGAGTGCATACATTTTCCATACTGTAACTATTCTGACGTCAAATCTCGTACACCCAAATACTTCTCTGCAGTTGCCACCACAACCTCAATTTTCTGTGATTTAGGTTCCATCCCTGCAGTACAGTTGATAACCATTGCATCTTACTGAAGCATATATCACTTGTTGGCCTATCCCTCTGTACTGGTACAGATCTACTACTCACACCACTCCTCTCAGTATCCCTCCCCCTTGACCCATCTTCCTCAACTTTATTATAATTATATATATATATATATATATATATATATATATATATATATATATCAGTCGGAAGTTTACATACACTTAGGTTGGAGTCATTAAAACTCGTTTTTCAACCACTCCACAAATTTCTTGTTAACAAACTATAGTTTTGGCAAGTCGGTTAGAACATCTACTTTGTGCATGACACAAGTAATTTTTCCAACAATTGTTTAAAGACAGATTATTTCACTTATAATTCACTGTATCACAATTCCAGTGGGTCAGAAGTTTACATACACTAAATTGACTGTGCCTTTAAACAGCTTGGATAATTCCAGAATATGATGTCATGGCTTTAGAAGCTTCTGATAGGCTAATTGACATAATGTGAGTCAATTGGAGGTGTACCTGTGGATGTATTTCAAGGCCTACCTTCAAACTCAGTGCCTCTTCGCTTGACATCATGGGAAAATCAAAAGAAATCAGCCAAGACCTCAGAAAAAAAAATGGTAGACCTCCACAAGTCTGGTTCATCCTGGGAACAATTTCCAAACGCCTGAAGGTACCACGTTCATCTGTACAAACAATAGTACGCAAGTATAAACACCATGGGACCACGCAGCCTTCATACCGCTCAGCAAGGAGACGCATTCTGTCTCCTAGAGATGAACGTACTTTGGTGCGAAAAGTGCAAATCAAATCACAGAACAACAGCAAAAGACCTTGTGAAGATGCTGGAGGAAACGGGTACAAAAGTATCTATATCCACAGTAAAACAAGTCCGATATCGACATAACCTGAAAGGCCGCTCAGCAAGGAAGAAGCCACTGCTCCAAAACTGCCATAAAAAAGCCAGACTACGGTTTGCAACTGAACATGGGGTCAAAGATCGTACTTTTTGGAGAAATGTCCTCTGGTCTGATGAAACAAAAATAGAACTGTTTGACCATAATGATCGCTATGTTTGGAGGAAAAAGGGGTCGCTTGCAAGCCGAAGAACACCATCCCAACTGTGAAGCACGGGGGTGGCAGCATCATGCTGTGGGGGTGCTTTGCTGCAGGAGGGACTGGTGCACTTCACAAAATAGATAGCATCATGAGGAAGGAAAATTATGTGGATATATTGAAGCAACATCTCAAGACATCAGTCAGGAAGTTAAAGCTTGGTCGCAAATGGGTCTTCTAAATGGACAATGACCCCAAGCATACTTCCAAAGTTGTGGCAAAATGGCTTAAGGACAACTAAGTCAAGGTATTGGAGTGGCTATCACAAAGCCCTGACCTCAATCCTATAGAAAATATGTGGGCAGAACTGAAAAAGCGTCTGCGAGCAAGGAGGCCTACAAACCTGGCTCAGTTACACTAGCTCTGTCAGAAGGAATGGGCCAAAATTCACCCAACTTATTGTGGGATAGCGGTGATCCTAACTGACCTAAAACAGGGAATTTTTACTAGGATTAAATATCAGGAATTGTGAAAAACTGAGTTTAAATGTATTTGGCTAAGGTGTATGTAAACGTCCAACTTCAACTGTATATACAGTGGGGAGAACAAGTATTTGATACACTGATTTTCCTACTTACAAAGCATGTAGAGGTCTGTAATTTTTATCATAGGTACACTTCAACTGTGAGAGACGGAATCTAAAACAAAAATCCAGAAAATCACATTGTATGATTTTAAAGTAATTAATTTGCATTTTATTGCATGACATAAGTATTTGATCACCTACCAACCAGTAAGAATTCTGGCTCTCACAGACCTGTTAGTTTTTCTTTAAGAAGCCCTCCTGTTCTCCACTCATTACCTGTATTAACTGCACCTGTTTGAACTCATTACCTGTATAAAAGACACCTGTCCACACACTCAATCAAACAGACTCCAACCTCTCCACAATGGCCAAGACCAGAGAGCTGTGTAAGGACATCAGGAATAAAATTGTAGACCTGCACAAGGCTGGGATGGGCTACAGGACAATAGGCAAGCAGCTTGGTGAGAAGGCAACAACTGTTGGTGCAATTATTAGAAAATGGAAGAAGTTCAAGATGACGGTCAATCACCCTCGGTCTGGGGCTCCATGCAAGATCTCACCTCATGGGGCATCAATGATCATGAGGAAGGTGAGGGATCAGCCCAGAACTACACGGCAGGACCTGGTCAATGACCTGAAGAGAGCTGGGACCACAGTCTCAAAGAAAACCATTAGTAACACACTACGCCGTCATGGATTAAAATCCTGCAGCGCACGCAAGGTCCCCCTGCTCAAGCCAGCGCATGTCCAGGCCCGTCTGAAGTTTGCCAATGACCATCTGGATGATCCAGAGGAGGAATGGGAGAAGGTCATGTGGTCTGATGAGACAAAAATAGAGCTTTTTGGTCTAAACTCCACTCGCCGTGTTTGGAGGAAGAAGAAGGATGAGTACAACCCCAAGAACACCATCCCAACCGTGAAGCATGGAGGTGGAAACAAAGGGGACAGGACGACTGCACCGTATTGAGGGGAGGATGGATGGGGCCATGTATCGCGAGATCTTGGCCAACAACCTCCTTCCCTCAGTAAGAGCATTGAAGATGGGTCGTGGCTGGGTCTTCCAGCATGACGACGACCCGAAACACACAGCCAGGGCAACTAAGGAGTGGCTCCGTAAGAAGCATTTCAAGGTCCTGGAGTGGCCTAGCCAGTCTCCAGACCTGAACCCAATAGAACATCTTTGGAGGGAGCTGAAAGTCCGTATTGCCCAGCGACAGCCCCGAAACCTGAAGGATCTGGAGAAGGTCTGTATGGAGGAGTGGGCCAAAATCCCTGCTGCAGTGTGTGCAAACCTGGTCAAGACCTAAAGGAAACGTATGATCTCTGTAATTGCAAACAAAGGTTTCTGCACCAAATAGTAAGTTCTGCTTTTCTGATGTATCAAATACTTATGTCATGCAATAAAATGAAAATTAATTACTTAAAAATCATACAATGTGATTTTCTGGATTTTTGTTTTAGATTCCGTCTCTCACAGTTGAAGTGTACCTATGATAAAAATTACAGACCTCTACATGCTTTGTAAGTAGGAAAACCTGCAAAATCGGCAGTGTATCAAATACTTTTTCTCCCCACTGTATATATATATATATATATATATATATATATATACACTGCTCAAAAAAATAAAGGGAACACTAAAATAACACATCCTAGATCTGAATGAATGAAATAATCTTAATAATTTTTTCTTTACATAGTTGAATGTGCTAACAACAAAATCACACAAAAATTATCAATGGAAATCAAATTTATCAACCCATGGAGGTCTGGATTTGGAGTCACCCTCAAAATTAAAGTGGAAAACCACACTACAGGCCGATCCAACTTTGATGTAATGTCCTTAAAACAAGTCAAAATGACGCTCAGTAGTGTGTGTGGCCTCCACGTGCCTGTATGACCTCCCTACAACGCCTGGGCATGCTCCTGATGAGGTGGCGGTTGGTCTCCTGAGGGATCTCCTCCCAGACCTGGACTAAAGCATCCGCCAACTCATGGACAGTCTGTGGTGCAACGTGGCGTTGGTGGATGGAGCGAGACATGATGTCCCAGATGTGCTCAATTGGATTCAGGTCTGGGGAATGGGTGGGCCAGTCCATAGCATCAATGCCTTCCTCTTGCAGGAACTGCTGACACACTCCAGCCACATGAGGTCTAGCATTGTCTTGCATTAGGAGGAACCCAGGGCCAACCGCACCAGCATATGGTCTCACAAGGGGTCTGAGGATCTCATCTCGGTACTTAATGGCAGTCAGGCTACCTCTGGCAAGCACATGGAGGGCTGTGCAGCCCCCCAAAGAAATGCCACCCCACACCATGACTGACCCACCGCCAAACCGGTCATGCTGGAGGATGTTGCAGGCAGCAGAACGTTCTCCACG